GGTTGTCCTCCTTCCTGCCCAGCAGAGTTGTGTTACAATAAGCATGACTTCAATGCCTGTCAGCTAGCAGTGCCTCCAAGCCTATAAACTCCTTTGACAATTTAATGAATGTTTAAGTGGTTATCTCAGTCCGTTTTCTGTTTTGCTAGCAGATCATGAAACTAGGTAATTTATAAAGAAAGGAAGTTTACTTATTATATTTTGGAGGCTAGAAATCCAGGTTAGACTACATCTGATGAGGGCCTTTCTGCTGGTGGGGACTCTGCAGATCCCCAAGTTGATTCAGGGCATCACATGGTAAGGGGGCTGAGTGTGATCGCTCAGATTTCTTCCTTCTCTTACAAAGCCACCAGTCCCATTCCGCGATAACCCACTAATCTATTGACTTATTAATCTATGAATGGATTAATCCTGCCCTCATGGCCAATCGTCCTTAAAAAGGATTCCACCTCTCAATACTGCCCATTAGGATTAAATTTCAGCATGAGTTTTGGAGAGACGATAAACCATAGCAGTTGTGCTACAACAACTGACTGTGAAACTCAGGAGTATAGTCTCTGGTATATAACAGTCACAGAACAGTTACACCATATCTATCTTGACTTAACTTGGGTCTGAGATTCAACTTGGCATGCCCCATAGGCTGGTATTCCCTGGCTGTCTGCTACATTTTTAATGTAGTTTTCTATATGCCAACCAAAATGCCACGCTATTCATACAAATTTAATTTAAAACAATCTGTAATAGTCATTTTCATGCTGCCGATAAAGATGTACACAAGTTGGGCAATTTACAAAAGAAAAGAGGTTGTGGACTTACAGTTCCATGTAGCTTAGGAGACCTCACAATCATGGTGGAAGCTGAAAGCACGTCTCGCGGCTGCAGCTAGACAAGAAGACAATAGAAACCAAGTACAAGTTCTATATCAAACCATCAGGTCTCATGAGACTTATTCACTACCAAAGAGAACAGTATGGGAACTGCCCCATGATTCAATTCCTCTCCCTGAGTCCCTCTCCACAACACATAGGAATTATGATACAATTCAAGATGAGATCTAGGTGAGGACACAGAGCCAAACCTTATCACTAAGCAAATCTTTATTCTTTCAAATATGCCTTCCTAATATCACGTCAACTTAGAGCAAGAAAGAAGCCACCATATGGCTAGGATAATTGTTAGAAATGTTGAAAGACATTGTTTTGTTCTCCCAATCTAAACATGTTTCTCACCACTGGTAGTATATTAGAATCCTATGGAGCTTACAAAAATTATAGACGCCTTAACTCCAGATTGCTCATGTTCCCTCCCAAAACATCAAGCTGCCATTCAAGCTTTTTCCATGTAGCAATATTGTAGCAATATTGTAAGGCTAATTCTGAGGCTCTAATAGAAATGTGGCTAACTAAGCGATACCTTGAGCATCTCCATTTTACAGTGAGAAATATTACTGTAGCCATGAAATATGTTCATATTCCAACTGAGTTGCCACTTCCTGGGAGCCGAGGCTAAGAATTCCAGCTGGTAAATGGATAAATAGAATAAACATCCATGTAAATAATAAGGAGATTGCAATTAGGATCTGCTTTTAACACTTACACCTTTCTGTGATCTGTCTGGTTAACCATTCATCTTTTTAAAATAAAGTATTTGTTCTCTTACAAGTCATTGCCTGTGATTATCGGATGCTCAGGTACAAGAATAGATACATTCAAAATATCTCAAATGTTAAATAAACACTGTGAGCCTATGAGAAAGGAAAGAAACTGAAACTAACTCTGCAATAGATACCAAAGATTGAAAGCAGAATGTTCTTTTGTAATTTTAGGGTAGAATAGATGGTTCCTGAGAACAACTCTAGAATTCATCTCCTTATGCAGCCTTGGCATTGTGATCTGCACAGGAAAACTCGAAATGCTTCAAGTAGAAGGAATTTCATGTAGGAATTGGTTTCACAAGTGGTGAAAAGGTGAGGAAGATCAACAGGCACTAGTGGGTCATTACAATCAACAATAATCTGCTGTCCCCCGAGAGCTGGAAAGACAAAGAGAGAAGGTCGTGTTACAAGAAACCACAAAGTATGGCCACCTGAGAGAGAGAACCATGAGGTGAAGCTGCCTGGTGGGAGGTTGCACTATCAAACGAGATGCTTTCAGGCAGGAGCCCTGGAATCATAAAGGTTATATAGCCTCTGTCAGAACACCAACCGATCAGGAAGAGAGGGAAAAATATGCCAGCTTTTCCCTTCTTTGCAGCCACATCTCCTATAAAGTGCCTTCCATCAGCTTAACATAACCAGGAGTTAGTGATAGACATCAGTGCTGGAGAAATATAGAGAATTAGTCCGAGGGCAAAGAGGCAAATTTCAGTACAGAGAAAGCGTATGTGGCTCCCAGTTCTATCACTTCACCAAATCCTGATGATTCCAGCATCTCAGTCTCTGTTTTTATATGTATGAATTCAAACTCCACAAAAAGAAGGAGTATGTTTGGGTTGATTAGCCCTGCTCAATCTAAAGCAAGTGTTATTAGAGTACAGTTCTGTAGCAATACAGTTTCTAAAGCTCTCCTTTTCATTGAGCCACTTGTTCAACCAGTTATAGAGTTCTTGACATGTCACTTGGTGTAAAGCAAGACAACTACCACACGAGGAAACATCACAGTTAATGTTCTCAGGGAGAGGACATGTTGCATCTAGGAAGTACTTGGAGGTTAGCAATACGTAGCGTGAAACCCCGTCTCTACTAAAAAAAAATAGAAAAAAATTAGCCGGGCGCAGTGGCGGGCGCCTGTAGTCCCAGCTACTCGGGAGGCTGAGGCAGGAGAATGGCGTGAACCCGGGAGGCGGAGCTTGCAGTGAGCCAAGATTGCGCCACTGCACTCCAGCCTGGGCGACAGAGCGAGACTCCGTCTCAAAAAAAAAAAAAAAAGAAAGAAAGAAAAATTGAAAAGAAAAAATGCATCGTTTTTCAAACAAGAGCAAAATTTTTGAAAAATGAAACAAACAGGAACCTTCCTGATAGAATCTCCATAATTCCAGTTAGTTCCATATTTTTAACTCTGTGATGATATAATTTTATGATCTCAAAAGAAAATCCTTAATCTCGTTATTTTTCTTTTATTCCTCGACTCTAGGAGATTCAACAAGACAACTCTGGAGATGGAAAAATGTTATTTATCATAATTTTATCCACACAGAAATGACAACTGAAGCCTAGAAAATAGATATTTCCTAAAGAAGAAGAAAAAGAGTGCATGTTCGAAAACTGGGCATTAAGGAACATGCACATTTAGAAACACGGAAAAAACCATAGTAGCAAGACTAGAAGTAATCCAGATAGAAGACAACTCAAAATGGATGCCACGAAAGCCACTTCTTTTGAGTAGGAGGGTGTGGTCAGCAATTTTAAATTTGCAGAGATGTCATGGAGAATGAACATTGAGCAAACGGTCATTGTATATTGTAGAAATAATTTATTAATGACATCCTAGCACAACGTCTCAGTGAGGACACGCAGAACAAATTCAGGTCACAAGGATGTAAGGCAGACAGGCAGACAGGCAGACATCAGATGTTGACCATTCATTTTAAAATTGTAGTAGTAAAAGAAACAAAAATGTTAAGACAGTAGCTATATTCAAACAAAAGCATATCATTGTAAGATGTTAGTCCCATCTCTCCTCAGTTTTGGGAACATTTATCTTTGGCCTGGATTTACTAGCTATTTATGTCACTGATTTGTTTTTGTTGAATTACCATTCTAAATATAACTTTCTAGGGTTACTTAAAAATATGCAATGAAACTTATTAATCTAAGTATAGTATGAAGCCAGGCGCTATGGCTCATGCCTGTAATCCCAACCTTTGGGAGGCTGAGGCAGGCAAATCCCCTGAGGTCAGGAGTTCAAGTCCAGCCTCGCCAACATGGCAAAACTCTGTCTCTACTAAAAATATAAAAAGTAGCCAGACGTTGTGGTGTGCACCTGTAGTTCCAGCTACTTGGGAAGCTGAGGCAGGAAAATCACTTGAACCCAGGAGGCGGAGGTTGCAGTGAGCTGAGATCACACCACTGCACTCCAGCCTGGGCGACAGAGTGAGGCTGTCTCTAAATAAATAAATAAATATAGTATGAAGTCCAAAACAGTGAGACATTTTTTAAAAAGAGCACTTGAGCGACTTTCATTCGAAAGCAATTCAGTGCATATGGTTATTATTTGGTTAGTATCTCGCAAAGGTACATGCTAGTAAAAAATTCTTCACAATTATATAATGCTTTATAAAATATTGTGATTTTTATTCTATTTTTAAAATTCAACTCAAGAGTTAGTTCTTACTAAAGTAACTTACTAAAAGTAGAATAGAAACTATTGTATTTCTATTGAAAATAAGCTATTTGTATTAAAATAGAATAGAAACTATAACTATTCTATAATAGAATACAAATATATACTTCCACCGAATTACCATAACATAAAATGGAATTAAGAAATTATACTACAAATAAAATCCAAAGGATATTAATATTGCATTTCAAAGGCATTATGCAACCCAATTAATAACATCTCTTTATACTATATTTAGAAATAAGATTAATAAGAAACGGTCCTAAAATATCTCTAAAGACTCCACCAGCATTCCTATTATACAACCTCACGATTTCTAATTTTTTCTTATAGGAACTTTAATTTTAAAGGAGCCTGAAATTTGGGCGAGTAGCCACTTTATGACTTTTTAAAAATGAATAGTCATATTATTACTCTAAGTATATATTGACAGGCACATACTATAAAACAAATATGTTTTATTTTATATTTGATTGTTATGGAGGGATGGGGAAAGCTCCATGGTGGGTAGATAAAAGAAGGCATTGAAAAGGTAAACTATCAGTTGTTACAGGAAAAGGTAAATTATAGTTGCCCATGACATTTGTGGCTAATTATAACAATCATCTTCCTAGACAACAGGAGGATAATGATACTCAATCAGGAGCAAGTACTCACAATTTCCTCCTCCCCAGGCACCACAGCCCCATCTGATTCACTCCTGCGTCCTCCTCCAAGTGGGAATCAGATTGTTCTTTCTTGAATTATTTCTAAACCATTCTTTCACCCTTTCCTGTAGCCCATTATCAAAGAGCTCCTTGTCTTGGGATTGAGTGAATCTGACTGTGAAAAAAAAAAATGACAAATGAAGAGAGAAAAGAAGAAAAGAAATCTATTTAAACTAAAAAGATGCTCATGAAACATAAAAGCAAAATATAAACGTCAGAAAATAATACATTTGCCTTACAAGTAAATAAAATATAATACAAGCATATTTATGATCTGACTTACGCTGTATTGAATAATTCTTAAGGCACAATACATAAAAGAATTTCTAACCTTTGTCTTTAACGTAAAATATATCTAAAGCCACCAATTTTAATGCTAAATTTTAAATGAAAATAAAATACACACCTAATAACAATTATGGAACAAATAACATTCTAAATAACATTGTCCTCAATTTTCCAGTATAATTTTCACAGATATATTTATATATACATGAAATACATACTCAAAATATGCACTCAATTTTTGTGTACTTTTTTATAATAAAGGTAATTCTTGAAGTATGTAAGTAAATACAAATTAATTGGACACTGTCATAAGTGTTTAAATATCATATTCTATAAAACCATAAATGTATAAACTAGAAAAAAGCTATGATTTAACTTGTAAAATACAGTCATCACAGACATTGACCGTATAAAATAAATAGTAAATGCTAACGAGAGGTTCTCATTATGCAGTGAGATGAAGTAGGTTTAAATAGAAATAGCTACAATTTTGAGAAGATATAAAGAAGAAATCTTTGGTAACATAGCAGATATCCACAAAGGGAGTTAATGAATTTAGCTTATATGAACATCATCATCCATCATTACCACAAACATTGTAAATTCAAAGAAAGCAAAAAAATTTTATTAATAACCTGTCAGACCCACCTCTACAATACCTTTTTCTCACATTTTTGGCTTTAGCCCCTTTGATCATTTCTCTACAAACAATAATTTTGCAATCTTCTATATAAAGAGATGGCTAGGCATGGTGACTCATGCCGGATATCCCAGCACATTGTGAAGCTGAGGTGAGAGAATCACTTGAGCCCAGGAGTTCGAGACCAGCCTGGGCAACATGGTGAAACCCCATCTCTACACAAAATTAAAAAAAAAAAAAAATAGCCAGGTGTGGTGGCACATGCCTGTAGTCCCAGCTACTTGGGAGCCTGAGGTGGGAGGATTACTTGAGTCCAGGAGGTCAAAGCTGCAGTGAGCCATGATCATGCCACTGCACCCCAGGCTGGGTGATAGCCCTGTCTCCAAAAAAAAAGAGAGAATAAATAGGAAATTTAGACTCTCCTTGAGCATGGTTAATAAATATTTATTTTCTTTATATGATTGATCATTTAACAATAATTTTAGCTTCTTATTAAATAATGTATTATTAGTAACTTTATTAAAAGTTTTATTGATAACTTACGAAAACCTCATTCAAATCTTTGTTCGTGTGAGTGCAGGATTTAGAACAATTTTCCACAAGCAAGGTCCTGCTCTATTTTCTTATATATTCTGAACCTCCTTTTTCCTTCATTACCCACATAGGTCCATGCTCAGTACTATAGGATATATTCACATGGCCCAGGCACTTCCTATCAAGATGCTTGCAAGAGCAGTAGGCAACAAAATTAATTGCAGGAGCCATTCCTAAACCAAGATGACTGGCAGTCTTAACCATCCATGAAAGTGACTGTGAACCATACAAACCTATCCTAATGAACCCAAACTAAACACATCCCTAGCTCAATTTCTCTTTACATGATCCCCTAAATACCATTTAACACGAGGAAACATTTGAGGGATGATGAATATGTTGATTATCCTGATTGTATTTTATGGGTGTATACATATGTCAAAACATCAAATTGTATACTTTAAATATGTACAGTTTTTTGTCTATTAATTACACTTCAATAATTTTTTTCAAAAGTAATGTGTCAGTTGGAGTCTAATTAAGAGGCAGAAAATACACAGTAATTTGAAAAGAGAAGGTTTGATATAAAGGATAATTAACCGTAATTTGGGGTCATGATAAAAAACTCTAATGAAAAATTTAAGTTTTAGGAAAAGCACTCAAAAAGGAGCAAACTTGGAAAGGGGTGCCCTCCTCAAGGCTGAATTACGACTTCATTAGAAAGCTGTGCTCGCAGCCCACTGCATGGCAGAGAAGTTCACTGGATTGTCTGAACCAGAGCCAGCCCACATGTGTTGGGCAAACAGGAAAAACAGACAAACAGAAGAACAAAATATCCTTCCCAAGTTAAAGGTGGCAAAGCTAGTGAATAAGAGCACAGAATGAGTCAAGGTGCCTGGAGCTCACTCATTGGGAGGGTCATGTGCAACCAGGGGTATACGGTGTCTGGGCCAAGAAGACTGTGAGAAACAACTTGTGGGGTGCAGATGGGCAAAGGTTGGTATGAGATTGTGCATAGGAGGTTGGGATGTTGGGAGCAGGCTGACAAACAGGGCAGAGCAACATCTGAAGCATATGGTGTCCATGTCACGGGCACAAAAGACGTCTGCTTTTGCTACATCTATTCATCATTAGTGGGGGTTCAAGCTAGTGTAATAAGACAAGAAAAAAATATGTAAAAGGCATCCACATTTAAAAAGAAGTTAAACTATCATTATTCACAAATGACATGACCGTCTGTATAAAAACTCCTATGAAATGTACCCAAAAATCTACTAGAATTAAATGTTGAGTTTAACAAGACCATGAGATCCAAGATCAATACTAAAAAAATCAATTGTATTTTTATAGACTATCAATCAAGAATCAGAAATTGAAATTAAAAGAAGCAATACCATTTATATAAGCATCAAAAATACAAATGATTTCAGGATAAATCTGACAAAAGATATGCAAGACCAGTGCAGTGAAAAATACAAAATGAGATCAACCTACAATGATCTAAATAAATGAGGAGAATCATTTATTACAGAATCATTTGCTGTTCATGAATCAGCAAACTCAATATCATTAATATGTCATTTATCCCCTGATTAATAGAGATTCAATGTGATCTCAATAAAAATCTCACCAGGCTTTCTCACAAAATTGACAATTTTATTCTAAAATTCATATGAAAATTCAGAAGAGCTAAAATAGCCACTCTAGGTGGAGGGGAAAGGAACAATTTTGTAGGACTATCTAAGACTTGCTGTAAATCTACAGCAATTAAGGCAATGTGGTATTGACATGAAGAGAGATAACTGTATCAACAAAACAAAATAGTGATTTCAGAAATAATCCATACATATGTGTGTAATTGATTTTTGACAGTGTTTCAAAGGGAAGAAAGAATAGTTTTTCAACAAATGGTGCTGGAATAATTGGATATCCACAATGCAAAAAAAAAAAAAAAAAAGAATTTGATCCATGCTTTGTACCACATACAAGTTTGCAGAACTGCAAAGGAAAACAAGGACAATTTTAGGGGTGATGTTATGGTTATTAAGCTGGTTCTGTGAGAGTTTATGTGTACATACATATATAAGAACTTAGCAAATTGCATACTTAAAATATGTGTAACTTGTTCCATGTCAATTATACTTCAATAAAGCTGTTTAAAAAACTAGTACATTTATCCATGCTTAGCCTAAGTATCTTTCAATAAATGCACTCATATATACAAGTGCATATTAGATATATTTAACAGATACTTGTATTCACAAAAGAGAACAGCTATTATCATCACTTGCTGGTTCTCATCGCAAATTTATACTTTATAAAAATTAGCACTTTATAAAAGATGAAATACTTTTGCATATGGAAACAGTGTTCCAAATGAAAAAGACTGTTTGGTGGAAGTCAAGAAGAGATTTTGTGTGCTTGGACCTACTTTTCATATTACTTGCCTTCATTTAGCTGGAGAGAACAACAGAGCTGACTGGCCACTAAAGAACTCTTACTATTGCCACAGATGTCCACACAGTTGCTTTTTTGAGGATTGGTCAGGACCTTGACCCAAGTTTCAGAAATGTAAACTCCCAGAATTTGATCTTTGCTATGAAAACATGTGAAATGGTAGAATAGATCAGACTTTATAAACTGGAAGGGATTTTAAATAGCATTTAATCCAAACCCTTTATGTTATATGTGAAGAACCCAAGGCCAAGAGAGAATAAATGCCTTGTCCAATCTTGGTACTGGCAGGGTCAGATCTAGAATCCAAGGTTTCTTGTGATCAAAATCCTGTGGCTTTTTTCTTTTCCTAATACCAACCTTTGAGTATTTCTTTCCCTAAATACTGTACTCATTAATCATTTTCTTATATAAAAGCATCTTCTTACATTTTGCAGTTTTAGGTACGTTTTTGTTTAACTATAATGAAAAAAATCCCTGCAATCTTTCCTGTTGCCAGATTCATCTACAGACTCCAGATTTGACCCTTTTAAAAATCAGCTGTTTAATTTCAACACACTCAGGACAATGTCCTCTGATTTTGTGCCTCTCTCCATGTCACTCATTTTTCATTATCCAGGTTGAAGACAATTGTCTCTGTCCTTCACCTAGAGTAATTGTTTTGAACTCTCTTTGAAAACAAAAGTACCAGGCTGAGAGTAGTTTCTATAACAATAGAATTTATAAATACAAGAAAAATATGGAAAAATCTCAGGGACCTCTTAATCATATTACTACAATCCTGGAAGAATTCAATTAGTTCAGTTTTATATTTAAATATTTATTTTTTCTTCCTGATTTCAAAAGCTAAAAAACTGTAGAAAACAGAGGAAAGCTTTTAAAAGAATGAAATCACTCATAAACTCTCCAACCAGATATAGCCACTATTAACATCTGGCATTTTTGGAATTTTATAAATAGATGTACATATAACTAAAGATATTTAATTAACTAACAAGCTATATACATAGCTATGAAGATAAAAGTCACATTATATATAAATTTTGTATCTTTTTAAATTAACATATTATAATTACTTCCCTGTCACTAAAATTCTTTATACTATCATTCTTAAGAGAGGCATGCTATTCAACCGTAATGCCATACCATTATTTAATCCTCCCCCTGTTGTTGAACATTTTTATAATTTTTAAGTATTT